ATCTGGAATACAACTGTACTTAAGGAAACTTTCTTGGAAGGGACAAGAGAACAGCTCTGGAAGATAGGCTAAAACTTACCGTACCGTGTGGCACAAATTTTTTGTGGGAGTTTGTTTTTGCAGATGTAGCATGTATGTGAGGCAAGGAGTTTGGACATGATAATTTACTTGTTATATGACAAAGTATTAATTTTTACAATCAATCCTGGCTGACCTGCAGCTAGCTAAACTAACCGAGGCAGATCAGTCTCACAAGTTCTAAATATTACAGATAACCCGATGCTGCTGGTAAAAACACAGGTAACCCAGGCTCTGTGATAGTACCACAGTACGGTTCCAGTAAAATTACAGTGTTTGTATGGGGTAAAAATATCATCCTAAAATTTCTAGGAAATACTAAATAAAGATCAATGAAACTTACTCTGCAGTTAATTGTTGTTGTCCTTATTGCTCCAACGAAGTTTCGTGATAATTTGCAGTAATTTGTTCAAATTCACTCTATCTACAATAATAATATACAAGGTAGGAAACACGAGGTGCCATTTTCGCCGACATGCTCTCATTCAACACAACTTTTTCCACGAAATTCGAACTCCAACGGAAAATAAACATGCCAGGATCGTAGAAATAGGATAGCAGCAGATATAGAAGCCAATGAAGCTTTCCCAGATAGAGAAACGAATCCCACAGACTTGGACAAACTCGAAGAATATAATCCAAACACACCGAGAATACGCTCGCCGAAGCAGCCGGGCCAGATCAACGCGCGGCCAAGAAAATGAAGCCTGGGCACTGTACAAAAAAATTCCATCCCGGGGGTCCTGGGGTGACCTTTCTAGGGACCGATACATCATTTGCCCAAGGCCACCCTCCCCTGCTGGAAAAATACTTGATAGAAGGCAATTGTTCTTCCTAGCCAATCACTATGGCCTGTTATAAAGAGATTATTTTCCTCTCGAACTATATTCAGCTCCTGGCGCTGGTCCTCAGAAAGTTTATCAAACATCAATAGGGCAAGGTTATAAGGGCAAAGGAAAGAACAACGAAGGAGGATTTACAAAACTTAAAACGAGCAAAAGATATAAGTGAATTTTGGCTCTTACCGAGGCATTTGTACAACAGGACCAAATTCAAAGAGAGGTGTATCTCGATGATTCACATATTTAACCGATAGAGCGTTCACTTGTATTGACAAGAAGTCGGCGTGTTACTGCCGCATTAATCGCTAAATATGTTAATCGCGCTAGTTCTTTGTTTACTAGTGCACGTGCCTTTCACATTCGTCTCAGTTATCGCAATTCATATTCTGTCGCAATTTTCTCTATAATTTTTGACATTAGTTTGTAAGCTTCACCGTTTATTTACGATAGTTTCGCTCGAGAGTTCACAGCAACACGGTATCTCAGTCATCATCTACCTTTTGTTCAACCTTGTTTTTAGCCCGCCTTGTAAGCATTTCGCGTTGTTTTTTCATTAGTTTCATTACTGTTATTTGCATTCCTTAGTAAAAGAAATGGGACGCCTTGTAACTCCGCAGACTCTCCTGATTATATTACTTTTTTTTAAGCCATTTAAATTCAGGCGCGTGTGCGGGGTTTGCTCTGGCAAATGGTGATTGGCCAAGAAGAACAATTGCCTTCTATCAAGTATTTTTCCAGCAGGGGAGGGTGGCCTTGGGCAAATGATGTATCGGTCCCTAGAAAGGTCACCCCAGGACCCCCGGGATGGAATTTTTTTGTACAGTGCCCAGGCTTCATTTTCTTGGCCGCGCGTTGATCTGGCCCGGCTGCTTCGGCGAGCGTATTCTCGGTGTGTTTGGATTATATTCTTCGAGTTTGTCCAAGTCTGTGGGATTCGTTTCTCTATCTGGGAAAGCTTCATTGGCTTCTATATCTGCTGCTATCCTATTTCTACGATCCTGGCATGTTTATTTTCCGTTGGAGTTCGAATTTCGTGGAAAAAGTTGTGTTGAATGAGAGCATGTCGGCGAAAATGGCACCTCGTGTTTCCTACCTTGTATATTATTATTGTAGATAGAGTGAATTTGAACAAATTACTGCAAATTATCACGAAACTTCGTTGGAGCAATAAGGACAACAACAATTAACTGCAGAGTAAGTTTCATTGATCTTTATTTAGTATTTCCTAGAAATTTTAGGATGATATTTTTACCCCATACAAACACTGTAATTTTACTGGAACCGTACTGTGGTACTATCACAGAGCCTGGGTTACCTGTGGTAAAAAGAGCAATTAAAAGGACACAGTCGCCTATTGGGCCACACTGACCTGGACACTACATTGTACTTTTCCCAGTTGAAAAAGATTTGCCTCAACCCAAAATCAAATGTACACGTCAGATACATCTAGAAATCCACTTTAATCTTGCCTAGTTTTCCATTGGATCCTCTATTTTTTTTCTGAATACCTCTTTCTGACTCAGCAAAACTTTTATGCATCCTAAAACATTATTTTATCATATTTGGTTAAACACGGTATCCAAAGGAACATAAAAAGAGGAGGTGGGAAACATGTAGGCGCTGGACGGGAGAAATCTCCTTCTTGTACCAAAATAACAAGAGAAATGAATCAATAACACTGCAGAGCAAATCATCATTACAAATATTTGGGAAATATGCAAATATGCTTGCAAAACTCCGCTCGGCCAATCAGAGCGCGCGTACTATCTTAGTTATTTTATAAATAAGTGGGTAACAATGATTTTATATGTAGGCTGACTGGAGAACCTCTTGGGCGCTATATGTTTTAATGGAATGGATGAACATTAAGTAGGAGACAATATAAGCAGTCGTAAGAGTTAAAGAAGAAGAGTGAGCTTGAAACTCATTAACATAGGGAAGCGTTAACCTTCCAATGCTAGTGTTCTCTTGTCCTTCAGTGACGGGGTCACTGTGATCGCGTGAATTGACTGTACTTAAAGTCACTTTACCAGTTTTGCTCCAGACAATTAGCATATGTTGTGGTCTATTTTTATTTTTGGTTCAAATTTTATTTTGTTTAAACCCATTATCATGCATGACCATGCCCAAAAACAAATGGAATTAAATTGAACCACAACATATACAGTTTTTTAAACTACATTATGTTCCGCCACGTGGAAGTTTGTTGCCTTAGACTATAAGAGTTGTGAACATAATTTAACACTACATATCTTTTTATGAAGTATTTTTATTTGATTAATTGGTAGCTGTACATGTAGGAAGCGCAAAATCCTACCTTTTAAGAATCTATAGTGATAGTTACATAAACATTAAAACATTTGAACGTCATTAAAACTGTCTTATATGAATAGGCCGACTGTTTTAAAACCCTCAGCACAAATCGCCCAACTCTATCTCATTTCACTTTAATGAAATCACATCACATCGATCACGGTCGACGGTATTCGTAGAGGCGGTTCTGGTAGTAACCACAATTGTGTCGTAATCTCGTAGCCGAAGAATATTACCAGAAACAACAGTAAATAACTTAAGGTTATTTTGACTGAAACTGGTCGTAACTTTTATTAATGATTAAGAGAAAGTGGGTAAGTACTTTATGCCATGAAAGTACATAAGTGCGATATGTATATGTACGCATGCGTTATTGGCATAACTAGAACTAAGAGTGAAAACTGTAAACCCGGTGAGAGGTAATGCAATTAAAAACCACGAGAACACCCTTAGACTGTTATTTTCGGACCATAGACCCAATTTAAAAATGGCCGCTGGAATAATTAACAATTATTTCTCAAGCCCGAATGACTCATGGGGCCGAAGGCCGAATGGGCTATTAACTCAGAGGCCATGAGGGTGAGAGGAATAATTGTTTTAGTAAAATCCAACTAGTTGGTCAAAAATATCGAGGCAAAACATTTTTAGCTAGCAAAACGCGATTCAGCCCACCATTGTTTTGGTTTTCAAGGCCGGCGCTTTTCGCTGATAGAGGGCTATAACATATAGCCTAGTAGATAGCTCAACCAATCAGAACGCAGCATTATTAATAGACCACTAGTTAGATTTTACTAATTCTTTAACATCTCTCCTCCGCAAAGGCCTCTTTGTGTTGTGGGGAGGCTGGGAACAAAGGAAAAGAGAGCGCGTTCTATTTTTTCAATTATTGCTATCATGATTTTTATCCAGCGGGAGCCTCCGCGGTGGAGAGATTTCTTTAGCTGAAATTAAAATTAATCGCACTAACCTCGCTCGAGATGACGGGTATTCCTGTAATTTCTGAACTCAAGAACGAGGCTAGTAAGACTGATTTTAATATGAACCCAAAAGAAAAATTAAACGAATGGCAACCTTTCTATATGGTCTATGAGCTTAGGATATCTAAAAACGTTTTAGTATTGCTAATAACATTTCGCATTCGATGAAGCTGTATGTTTAAAGGAGAAAATGTAAATATAGGCCACGAAACCGATCAAGCGGTTTGCTGGCTATTTCGGTTTGTGTAGCATGACTTATTTTTATACTGATATCGTCTCCTAAAACTGTGTCATGATGCATCTAGTATGATTGGTGCCAACGAATACGCAGTTTAATCAATCATATCTATATATTTACGCTGTTTTTGAGTTTAACTCTATAAAGATTACGTGTTGTGTTTCTGCGTAACTTGAACATTTTTTCATGTACTGAATATAAACATGACATTGAGTGGTAAAAAAAATCTACTGAGCCGAGCCTTATTTTGTCCTTTTAAATTTTAAAACTTGAACTGACAAAGAGAAAACAACCATATCCTTCCCTTTTCATCACCATTATCATCATCATGATACAAAAAGGGTTGTGAAACACATCATTACTTAAAAAGGCCGGTAGGAATAAAAGTCATTAGCCATAAAAATTCTCGGGTTATCCGCAATTATCACACTTTATTCAGCCAATCAGCTTCCAGAGGGCGAGATGATAAACAAATATTTAATGAGACTCAGAGAAGTAAATAAAAAGGTCTGAAACGAGGCTGACTGCTGAGTAATAGCTCGAAGGGATTCAGCTACTTAACCTGCAGGGAGACTGAACAGATTACATCATAAAAATTCTTTTCTTTTGTAAGGTAAGGTGACTGAAAACCTCCCTTAAAACCCCTTTTGTTAATATAAGTAAAAGAAAAACTCCAAAAATTCAAGGAATACGAAATTGGCGATATTTAGGTGTTAGAGACTGATATGAGTGCTGAATTAACAGAAAACAAACAATAGCCGTGCAGTGAAAGAGTGAAAGAGAATGCTTCTGCACGGTAACCTTACCCAATTTGGAAACGTTCTTTGCAGAAAATACAAAGGGGCAAAAGCAGAAACTTCAATTTTTATACTAAGGATCGTTTGTTCAGGCAAACTTACTGCGGAAAATACTGGGCGAAGTATCGCCACTGTTAAAGACAAGGAGTTAAAAAAAAGCAAATTAGTAACAAACATTGTAAAAATGCAAGGAACTAAATCCGTCTGGAGTGTACGAGTTAAGGGTGATTAGATCGAAGAGCCCAATTATTGCAAGAAATAGCAGCAACACTCAGGTCTAGAATAAATGTTAACCGCTTCCGGCTTTGAGAAAGGCCTTGAAAACTGAATTGAGAGCGAACCTGATTTTTTAAATTTCCTAAAACCTCTTTGGTTTTCTGAGTTACGGCGACATGTTTAAGAAAACCAACAACGAAAGCGTCGTGTGGTGTTTAAGAACTAATATGCACCAGGAAAGAAATTTGATTTATTCCCTTTGTATACTAATACTAAATTCCTTCGCATATTAATTAACGGTTTATTTGTCCCTCTTTTCCTTTCTTACAATCAAACCCTCAGTTGTGTTTGAAGACTGTTGATTTGGAAATTATGAGATATATAGCCCCCCTAACCTTTCCTCACCCCCCCAATAAAAATAAAAAAAATAAAAATAAAAAAAAGCAAATGAATGTCCAGATCCTCTCGATCGGATCTCGAGGTATATAATGAGATAAAGGAAAGAAAGGATTGAAATCACCTCTTTTTCAAATGTCAACATCAAATCTTAGAGCCGTTTCTCCAAGATATTGAAAATTCAGGATAACTGAGGAAGACAAACCTAAACAATTATAGAAGCATATGGTTTTCAGTTTCATTCCTGATCAGTTTCTTTTTAGAGAACTGAACACGCACAGACAAGGTTGAAGTATTATGGCGGTAAGTTGAATATAATATGTTCCCTGATTCTTGAATCCAGAGTCTTGCCACAAAAAGGTTAATTTATATGTAAGTTGCTTGCTTTGTTTTCAGTTTTTAACTCTTTGATTCACGTGTGTTCGGTTTCGATGATGAACGGTATATTTTATATCCGCATAATACTGATATTACTAGTAGGAACCTGGTGGTTTAAGCTGTCAAAAATTTGCTATTTTAACAACCAAAATACCAACATTAGAGCTGTAAGTGTTTAGCCAAGCAAGATCAAGCAAGTTCTTTTTTGTGGCATACAGTTAAATTATGAAAAACATTTTAACGAGGAAGTTTGACTTTGAGATTGGAAATTTTACAGCAGTCTTATATTTCCTTCACAGAAAATACAAACCGAATTTACGAATTAATCTTCATAGGCTGAATTGGAAATCACTACTTAAAAATACAGGAACCTATTTCGCCAGAAGTCCAAAAATGCAAGTTCTTACAAGTGGGAAGGGGTTTTATTGTAATAAACAGGGAAGTCATAACTGACTTTTTTGCCAATTATTATGGTACCAGATGCCTTGTTGATGAACGCTTGATTGACAGGCGTTCGAAAGCGGAGTAGAGAATTCGGGTGCACCGGAAACGTACCGCTTGCATGTACTCGCTCACCCTATCCCATAGGCTAGTCTCATTTACTTAATCTCGCTCCCCTCCAGCTCGCTTTATGGCTTCTTTCTGCCGTGAAACTCGCGAGGAGGACTTTTGGAATGCATGTTTGGAAGAGGTACACACCGGCGACTTTGACAAGATTCATGCACGTATTCGTAAGATTGAAGTAGTTCGATAACGTGACTCGTGAATGTTTATTATTGAATCTGTTCAGTTGACTTAGTCATTAGCTAATCATACGGAGTAACAGTGGATTTTTTTTTATATTTTGCATTCAGTTGATTGACAAGTTGCTACGTGAATTCGCGAAGGAAAATTTTGGTGATCAAGAAGGAAGCTATTTCCCTGTTGTCCATGGCCGAACCCAAGATATAAAGTTACTTACGCTTGTAGTAAAGAAACCTACTACATCCGATCAAGAATGTGGAGTCAAACCGCAGGGGTACACCGTTCTTGCGGAATTAGGAAGGTACGCAGCTGAGGAAAACGCTGAAGAATTTGAGGCCATGATGAAGAAACACATCGTAAAAGAAGACTGCGGGATATTACCAGAGGGTGAAAATGAAGATGATAAAGGAGCTGGAAGGTAAATATTAAATTGACAGTAATGAAACATGGTTTATAAAAAAAAAACAAAAACAAAAGCAAACGTTTTTTTGCTCTGATCAGATATGGGGTACCTTGCGAGTTGATCAGTTTACTTCGTTCTTCTTAGATAACTCGGTAGGAAAGGTCAAAGCGACTCTGGTATCAAAAAAAAACAATACTCAAAGTAAAATCTGAGGAACTGAGATCACTATTAGGTTATTGCAATGAAAAGAAATATTGTAGAAACTATCAGGTCAACTTAAGAAATATCACCTTTCTTGATAATCTCCGCCCATGCAAGGATTTTTCTGTTTAGTTTTTTTTTTTTTACCATTAGTGCAGTACTAACCAATTTTTCATGTTGCACCAGCCTCTAAAATCTCATGCGAATACTAATTTGAGTTCTTTAATTCAGCTCGGTAGAAATTGAAGGACACGCTGATAATTTTGGCAGGAAAGGGATCAAGATAAGTGAAGATCTGGGATCCCTAGTGCTGGGAAGAATTGATCAGGAATACATACGTGATCCGGACCTACGTGAAGTATTGGCTAAAACAGATATAGACAACGAAAAAGCAGGTGTTTTCGAAGGCCAACAACTGAGCTTGATAATCTCAGTAATTTTCAGTGAGCGATTTGAAGTTAAAGGCAAGAGAAGGAACAAGGTATTTACTGTCGGAAAACTATTCCATGGTAGTAGAGTAGTGATGAAATTAATACAGTAACCTTTTTGCGCAGAAATCTCATTAACTTACGCAAAACATCAAGGACGGCAAAGATGATTTCATTAGCTTCTGTCTTTTCTCTAATGAATAAAATGCGGGATCGACAAAGGGTCAATAATGCGTAGGTGGAGGAGGAGGGTGAACAATGGAAATGTGGTGTTGGTGGTTTTTGGAAAGCAATTTCTTCATTTTACTCATGAGAACGAAAAAAGGTTATGACGTTATCTATGTTCATATATTTTTGCACAAGTCAATGAGATAGCTGCGCAAAAGCGGTTAATTTCATCACCACATTTTCAATCATATCTGATATTAAAGTGATGAATAAGGAAGAAGAGAAAAGGAGAGGAATTTCTAAAAAAATAAAACTCTATACACAACACGACTTAGTGTTTAATTTCATTTTTACTTTTAAATAAGTGATCTTGCACGTTCTTGAGGCTACAAGTTTCTTTTCTTGTGATGGGCTGTACTGTTGTAGATTGAGTATGGCAGAGTGTGAATTACAGCGGTCTCTTGATAAGAAATAAAAGTTTAAGATCCGGAAACATGCATTACTATAGACTCTTGCCTAGTCAAAGATGTTTTCAAAATTCAGCCAAAAAGTAATCCTCAGTTTACATTAATGCTGCCATTCGGTGGACAAAGTACTACTCTATTTACTCATTTGAACATTGGTTTTGAAGATCGAAGGAGACGCAGAAGTAAATCCTCCAGGGGTGAAAGAAACATACCAGACGATTGAAATTCCACCAAATATAGCAACGAGGCTGAACACTCGAGGACCAATCCTGTTCAAGTGCTGCCGCGTTGTGTATAACAAGGAAACAAATCGATTGGAACTCTCCGATGAAGAGGTTGTTGGAAAAGATTTTCTAAGATGTAAAGAGGACGAGGAGGACAATGAGAACGATGAGAACGATAACGGTAAGATCATATTCATATATATACATATATAGAAAGGGAGGGGATCGAGGGATGACGCAGTGGTGAGAGCACCCATCTCTCACCAATGTGACCCGAGTTTAAATCCCGGCATCGTAGCCATATGAGGTTCCCTCCTTTGCTCCGAGACGTTTTTCCTTGGTACATGTACTCCGACTTTCCCCTCTCTGGATCGAAAACGAACACTTCCAAAGTCCAATTGCACCAGGAATGTGGATGTGCTACCTCTAAATCGTTGTTTATTATTCATTTATTGATTTATTTAATAACAAAGTAGAAAATGGAAGTCATTACTTTGATTTGAGGTACGCAGTTGACCGCTGTTGTAGCTCTTCAGCCTTAGTTTAGCGTGTTTATCGACGTAATTTGATTGTATAATTGCACAGATAGATTGAATTTAATCATATAATATTTGCGAACAATTAGTTAGGTTAGTCTATTAAGTGCTGCCTTATACCTCAAAATGTAATTAGAAAACTATCTTTAGGTGCAGATTCTTAAACATATAAGAAAACATATGACATGGAAAGCATTTAAAACATTTTTGAGTTTGTAACGGGATATAGCTTTAAATCACGACCTGAGGAATAATTCTGAAATATTTTCTTTTCATTGTAGATGGATTTTGTGGAACAGTGCACATTGTAGCTAGAGTCCGAGGGATAATTCCGAAATATTTTTTTTTATCTTATTATAGATGGGTTTGGGGGCTCCCGAAAATTCTAGGTGGCAGTTTAAAATGGGTACATTTTGTAGATGTTCGAAAATCCTAAGTTGCCTCCTAAATGTTTTATTTTCTTTCCAAATCAAGAAAATTGGTTGGGAGATTTAAATGTTTTGTTCTTAAGATACGTTTGCGTGTACATTATAGCAATATAAATTTTTGACAGTTACGTAAATTTTGAAAAAAATGTTATCTTCTAAATTCATCCAACAGCTTTGTCTCAGAAAAATGAAAGGAACAAACGGGCCTGCGCAGGACGAGCCTTTGAAGTCAAGTGACTGACCTTGCTATCATCTTGAAGCAATTTTATGATCGCATCTCGAGTCTAACATGTATCTGTAAGGTGCGATCAGGGTTTAAAATAGTACTGTAAACGTAAAAATGAAATATGTTTTTATTACTTTACTTACAATCCCGGTCATAATTACTTGAAACTTTTAAGGAAACACATGACAGAGGGTACACGTGTTGCTTCCGTTGCTTCTTTTTCTCTTCCTCTAATAACACAGATAGAAAGATAGAAGGAGTGAGAAGAGGCGGGGGCGTTGGGTTGGGGGAAAGATCTGTAAGGTAGCCTTCCAGCGATTATGATTATGATCGAGATTGTGTCTGCTGATGTTCAATTTATAAGATATGACAATTGTAGATGTTTGTAAAACGTTTAAATCTCGTGAATGTCTCTCATGGCTGTTGCATACTTAAACATTAGTGCCACTAGTACTAAGAGATTCAAAGTTGCGTCAAACCGTCACGATAATGAAAGATTTCTTATTTGCGTATGATAGAGTCGTTTACATTTGTTGAGCGCGTCTAAGTGTAACATAGCCGTTGCTAGTGATTAAGAAATTTTCGTTATTAAACCACACTCACACGATTCGTACTATTGTTTCCTCGGTGGTCCGCTGATCGTCATTATTGCGATGACTGGTCGTTTGCTTTCACTCACCTTAGAATCACCTGATTAGAAGTCATGTGAATTAATGAGGATCGTAGAGCGCTTAATAGTGAACTTACCCAAGAGGAAGGCGGAGTAAAGAAGACAGCAAACCGTGTGTGACAAGCGTCGAATGGTTTTGTTTCAAAACGCTCTTCGCCAAATTTCCCCGTTTTCTTTAACAGATGTTTTGTTTGTGAACATCACGACGGGTGTCAGTAAAAAGGGGGGATCGGGGTCGGGGTCGGAGCCTCCCTAACTTTAACCCTCACCTTAAAACAGCATTATTTAAAAAAAGATAGATCCCGACCCCGAGTTTTTCTAACACCCGATTACAACAAAGGCGTACGTTATAGCCCTGCCACGTTTGTCACGCCCGAAAGTTTTCCGTTCTCTTCCATTCTGCCATCCTGTTACGTAAGCTGGCTAATGCCCGATGTTAGCAAGCAGGAACGGCGAAATCATAGTGGTTTATGAATTATGTTTTGGTTTTTCTATTTTTTAAATTGCAGCTGTAGAAATTGTAGAATTACAAAGTAAGTAGAATAGGTGCAGTATTAGTTTTTTCTAATCAGAACATCCAGCGGTAATTATAATATATTTGGAGATTAAAAGATTTCATCGCCATTGACATTGCCTCACGTTATTATCGTACTGTCTTTTCATTGCGAAATATACTGTCAATCTTTTGTAAGCCCTTCTTGGGTACACCCATTCTGACCCTCTGAATTCTGACTGCACCCAGTAATAAAGACAATCACAGCCATTAATTTTGTCCCAATTAAGCGAATATTAGTTCCAGAATATGGAAAATTTTTCCTTGTGGAATGCTCAATCCTACGCTTTTGAATCCGGAATACAACTCAAGGAACCCGGAATTCAAGTTCCAATGACAAGGACCGGAAATCCGTATCTAGCATCCAGAATCCACAGCTTGGAATTCAGAATTCAAGACTGACTTGGATTCCCTTACAACAAATTGGGGCGATCAATTGAAGCACATTAGAAGACACGTTCAGACCAAGTACTTTTACGCGGTGATAACTTTATTCCCTCTCACCAAAAAAATGTTACCGTTTTTCGGAGTTTGATTGAGTATAACGTCCCTCGCAATCAATTCTTTATTGAAAGGGAATCGTCGTTTCAAAGACAATGGCCGAGAAATAAAGAACCAAAAAAATCAACCTGTCGGTACTGGCAAAATATAGCCTGTCATCAAGCAGGAATTTAGGTAGCGCGAGAAAACAGCCGACATTCACCGGCGCCACCACTGGTTTCCTCGCGAAATGATGACTGAGAAACGAGCATAGAAATTTCATACTGATGACACATTATTATACCCAGATCTTGGTAGTGCTTTTGATTAGTTGAAGCCAATTTCCCAGGCAGCACGACGACCACGCGAGGGACCTAAAGCAAAATCTCGTCTGCGCATGCCCTCATTATAAATGCACCGCTAGAATTGAAAACTACGGGAAATTTCCTTTCTTTTGATGTATAATTTGCCTTTGTTGGAGAGGCGTTTGGCTCGATAAATGGAATTTTAAAGTAGCTAGTTATAGTTCTTAGCCATGTTCGTGTGTTTGCTCGGCAAAATTAAAAATTACAAGTCCATAAATAAAAGTTCATTTTGTTTTTGCGTTGTGTTGTGGACACATATTTCAGTTTTAATTTAATTGACAACGTCTATTTCTTCCATTTGTTTATTACTTGAAAAATCAATAGAGATTACAACATTTTACATTTAAAAATTCAAAGGAGCCTGAGGAACCCTAGCTATTCTCTCCTTTTAAAAAGAGTTTTGCTTATCTCAGTCACTCCAGACTTTATTATTATAAATAAGACTTTATTATAAATTTTCAAAAGAATATTTTTAAGTGTCCTGGCACCGCAAATAGCTGTAGCTAGTCTAGGCAGGCCACGAATGATACAGAAAGAAAATAGCTGCAATAACATTAAGGTAAAAAAAAAAGAAGTAGAAAGCAAGAGAGATTCATCAGCTTTAAAATAATTATGGAGCGGTTAACTATTTGCAAAAATTATAATCTTAAGAAGAAAAACATATGAAAAAGATGCATCTAAAACTCTAAGGAGGAAAAGAAAAGAAAACATTAGCTCGCCGTTTTTATAGGTAGGATTACAAAATAAGTATCGTCAGTCTCCAGTATATTAAGCAATGACGCACGAATATTAAATTTGAATTTGTGTTCTGAAAGTGTGCGCAACTTGGTCGGTATTTCATTCCATAATTTGGCACCAAGTCTTGAGAAAGAGGTTTTTTTTTATTTCAAGATTCGATTTTTTTTTTTATATAAAAGTTTTGAGATGTAGACGACCTAGTGCCGTATGAATGTACACAAGGAAGTGGGAGGAACAATTCCTGAATGTTTATAGGTACTACGTTCTTTCTCAAGTCTGACATTGTTTCTGCTAGTAGCTGATAGTAGAGAAACTTAATTGGTAATGTTTTTGTATTGATAAAGAGAGAAATGGGATAATCACGCGGTTTAGCAAAGTGAATAAAGCGAAGAGCGAGTTTCTGAAGGACTAGAAGTTTGTTTAGTTGTGATTTGCTTGCTTGACCCCATACAATTACACCGTATCGAAGATAGGGTGTTATCAGAGAGTGATAAATGGAAATAAGTATGCTAAAAGGAAAAAAATGTCGCAATTTCGATAACAGCCCAACAGTTCTACTGATTTTTTAAAGAATTGTGTCGATGTAGTTATTTCAAGAAAGTATACCGGATTACCATACATGGAGCGAATCAGTGTCTAAACAATGCCTGATTCATATATAGCAAACTTTTTTTTTCCATTTCGTGTTCTTGTTTGGGGTTTGTGATTCTGTTTTGCATTTTGTTTTCGTTTTTTGGATGAGTTTCTGTTTAATATTTCGGGATATACGTCACTCAGGCCTGGTGGGTGATTCTATTTTGGATTTGTTTGTGTTTCCTTTTGGGGATAGTGTATTTCTGTTTGGGATCTTTGTTTCTCCGTCCAGATTGACGTTGGGTTATCATTTTCCGTTTTGGCTATGTGTGTTTCTGTGCGGGGTTAGCGGGTTATGTTTTCGAGTCTTGTTTTTAGTTTTTGTTTCTTTCGGCCACCATATTTATGTACTATGAGGAAAAAATGTCATTGAACTTTCGTAACACGACATGCTCAGCCAATCATATCGATACCTGAAAGCACACCCTCTCTCCTTTATCTCTATATGTTTCTTGTGAGAAGAGGGCATGATGTATATATTTGTCAGATCTTGTGTATTAATGCCATAATACAGTATTTTTTTCGTATTAGCTAAGAAACAATACCTATGAAATGCACTGTCCCTTTTGCCTGTTGATTTGGTTAAATGTTCTTTTCACGGTTTTCTGATGTTTTAAGTCGTATGTGTACGAAACATAACCGATTCAGGTAGAAAACATTTAACTTAATTTCTCTAATTTACGTTTTTTTCTTTTTCGTTTTTGTGGCGGATAATAATGAAGAAATGAATATCTTGTTTTAAACTCTCATAAAATCCATGATCAAAGAAAGTGATCAGTAGTGGTCACTGAGTAAGAGAGAAGTCATTAGATATGAATGTATTAAATTTTTTAGTACACAAGAACCCTCAAGCAATTTACTGCTTTAATATTCATCGTGTTTAAATAAAGGATATTGATTAATTCATTCATTCATTCATTCAAGTCCTTAACGCATGAAAATCGTGCGTTCTGGGCGAATCTTTGCTGACGTCTTTGTTTAAATTTTGTTGCCTTGTCGTTAAAATTTTATAAAAAGGACTAAACAAGAATAACCTTTCAAAACTGAAATACAACTCAACACAAGCAACTGCCAATATTGAATCACAAGATTGAATAAATAATCTCTGCAATTTTAGCTTTTTTCATACAATACTTAAGGAAGTATCAGCCATCAAGGTACGCACAATTTCTGGGTGTAAAAGAGTTTATTCGACCATCAGTACATTTGTAAAATTTTGACTTTTTAACATCATATATCAGAAAAGAAAAAAAAAAGAACCGAAATTTTCGGAGAGAGTGTAATTCAGCTATTTTTTCTCACTAATAGTTTATGAAATGACACTTTTGTAACTTTATTAGAAAACTAGAAGTGTGCGCATTTACGTCACCATCACACTCCAATAGTAGCATTGCGTTTGAGCGCAGGGCAGGAAGCGTCGATACTCGATACCTAACGCCTATTGGAGGAAAATAGGCGAGGGGAAGATCAGATGAGAGACCCTGGGAACGAATTGAGGTAAATATTATTGAATTCAGAAACTGTTCATAATTTTGTTTCAGACAACTCGAAGGAGATTTCCTAAAGCATCAGGAATTAATCAAACTCTTCAGAAAAAGAAATTTCTTCCGTAAGGTAAGATGACTAAAAACCGTGCTTGAAACATCCTTGCTAAGAGGGAGAGCGGAAAACGATCAAAAGCGATCATTAAAAAATCAATATTTTAGGGTTAAAGACTGATGTGAATGTCACAGCATCAAACAAAAATTAAACGCACTCACAGACTTTAATGTGTAATAGAAAAATAGAAGACTTTACCTAGCTGAATGTGGGTTGGAACATTTTAGAAGATCTTTAATAGGAAAAGAAATACACAAACAACAACAAAATTAACAGACAGACAGATATCAGAACCCTAGCTCGAACCAATAGCTTAGAGTATCTTATAAGCAAGAAAAATGGGGATAATTGGATTCAAAATTCTGAAAAAGCTGTTTCTTTAATGGCAGATGTGTAAATCGTCTATGTGATAAAGTGATAAAATGGTTTGAACTCTAATTTATTTTATTTTGAGGTTACTCTCGTCACTCAGACCGTGTCGTTACGTGTATTCAAAGTTTCTAGATAGCAAGATTTTTCAGTGGTTTCCGTCTTAATATCTCTTAAACAGTGAATACTTTGCGTAATATCAGATTTGAGAACTGAGATTTGAGAACTTGAGAACTGTGAGTATTAAGCACCGATAGGAACTCACTCTTCTGTAAATGTCACACCAAAATTGTTAATGGCATTTCCTTAATATTAACGAAATATTGATGAGGACCACAGAACGAGAAAAAATGTAACAGTAGATAGAAACATGGTTTTCAGTTTTGCTTTCACCTGATTGCCATATCTCTATTTTTAGAGGACTGAACACGCACAGGCAAGCTTGAAGTATTATGGCGGTAAGTAAAATTCAGTAAGCTCTCTGGTCGTTGCATCCGTCTTATAGCCCACAAAACCATTTAATTGTTTGCATTTTATTCTGCGTATTTCCCTTTAGTTTTACTTTCTTTTCGGCCATGAATCTGTCAAAACGCGGTGTCAGTTGTATGTTTTGTTTAAACGTTGGAGCGATTATCACCAAAAAGATTAAACTTCATGGCTAACTGATCAACTTCCAAATAATCAAAATCATTTCAGCCATAGTCGTGTGCGGTGTGACCAAACTGTTCTTTAAACATGATCTGAACAGTGTTTTAAAAGCTCTGTGAAGTCCTGGAGTAATCCCAACCGATATCACTAATCCGTTGTTAACTTTGACCTGCCACATCCCGGAGGTTAAGGTGGCTCGACTGTTTTTTTTCTAGGGGATATACTTTCCCACTTAAAGTGTTTACTGCTTCGGCATTAACAAAGATATCGGAAAAAGGTTACCACAGTTGAACTATATAAAGATGAAAAGTTGTTATGATCCATGTTTTATTGACATCAGAGTTACCATGGAAACATGATGACGCTACGTTGTATTTCTCGGTACCAGTTTTTTTTTTTTTTTTTTCAAAATTCGCTTAAGGCTGCTTGCACGCCCTTTAGTTGCCTTGATTATGACAAAGTTTGCGCAAAATTTAATTCTATGAGATCGTTTTCGAAATATTTTAAAAGAAAGTTTTAAGGGTCAGAAAAACACTTAATGAACATGCTATTGATATAATTAGCTAATATCTAAAGATAATGATGAGGTCTGAAACTGATGCAGTTTCATCTTATAGTGGTTTGATTTCATCTGAATCTTTGCACGAAAAAGGAAGGAGATTGCTTCGGTCGATTGCGAGAAAAAAAGAATTTGATTAGACTACGTTCGACTGCTTTCTTTACCATTTTTGAGTGTAATTTGGTCCATGCCTAAAAATTTCTACTTGCGGTGAGAACAAATACCTAACGCGCTTTTAGAGTTCTGTAAGCTTATATCAAACCTGATACTAGGCCAGATCATTGTCTCAAATTTTACAAACGTGCATAAACTTGCGGCATAAATTAACTGTGCTCGACTTTGAATGAAATTAGATATATTTAACAATTATTCGCCCAAGGCGAAATTAATATTGTTGAATAATCCCCGAGACGAAGTCGAGGGGATTATTCAGCAATATTAACTGAGCCTGAGGTGAATAATTGTTTTAGTATATTCACACGAAGTGATCTCAACAGAATCAGAAAGGAAACCATTAAAAAACGGTTAGTTTGATTGACGGGTGAATTCGTGCGTGAACACGAAGCCGTAAACAGTGAATGCGCAAAAGTTAGATCTTCACAGTATCTTCAAAAATGGCAAATGATAGTTTTAATCTTTTTGTATCGAGTTTTGTAAGCTTTAGCATCAACGGTTTAAAAGAAAACGCGAAAATTTATATTACTACCCAATTCTGAGAAGAAAAGTAGAGCTTCATTTGTTTCTGTCAACTCACCGCGAATAAGAACGTTTTCTTTGTCGCTTCTTGCAAATGCTGTCAACAGCGGCTACGATCAAGGTGAGTGTTGTTTATCTCCAATGTTCTTTGCTTTGTTAACTTGCTGGCAAGTACAATTTTCGAAAATATTTGCCCGCCTCTTTTCTCCATAAATTAACTTCTATCGGAAACTTATAAGGGGTTGAAACGTGTAACTCGCGTTCAATGCTCGTGAATATTCACTTTTACCATATTTGGAAACCTTAGTGACAGATATCCATTTTCAACAAATGGCTGCCGCGCGATGACCATGCAGATGTTTTAAGACAGGAGATCTGCATTTCAAGGTTAAAAATACACCGTTAAAAGACAAAAAATGGAAAGAGAAAGGTCGAAAGAATGCTCAGCTTTCTTTTCTGGAAAAAGGGAAGCTTTTCATCAAGAAATCGTCCTTCGAGGAATTCAACGTTGTTTTCTTCTCGACGGAGGGCGTGGTCTGTTTTGAAATGCAACCAAGGCAGTGAAGTTTTTGCTGAATTTTCAGGTACATTTTGCGCTCTATGGCCAAGGCAATTACGTTTTTGAAAGAGAATTTATGTATTTTTAAATGTTTCATAGACGTTTTATAAATTTCTCTCTTCGGGGCTAAAGAAAAATTACAAAATGTGCCCCAATTTGAGATGGATTTTGTGTTGAATTTTGCCATGTGCTCAGCCGATTTCACTTGGGTGAACGGATCCACGATCGAGATAGTGTTTTCCGAATTGCTTTAAAGGATTAACTTTTCGGATTGTGAATAAAATTTTTCAAGAAACGGCTTCTCTGTCTGTTGTTTTGAGTTTGTTCATTCATAAAATTAGCTCAAAACACGATCGTGACTACAACATCCAAGCTGAATTTAAGCTTAAATGCTTCTCACATTCATTACACGCATCACTTTTTGCGAAGATGTCAGGTTCAGGTTTTGGACACTTTTCGATCCCCAGCTAATGAATTTTATTCGAAAATATTTTTTACTGTTTATTTTAGACTTAATATAAGAATTTTAAAAGCTTATTTGCAGTATAAGTTTACTGTGCAGAGGGTCAACGAGGCATCGTTTTTTGAAGTGACAACTCCATGAAGTTGCGAGGACGTCAGTGGGTTTCATAATGTTATGTTTGGCCCGGGTGGAGAGGCAATAATATCCTGCTCAGTGTTTCGGTAAGATTCCTGGTTTCAACCTTAGAAAGCTTTCTCGGCTTTCGGGAGTTTTTCCTCCGTTTGTCGGCCATTTTTTTCAAGCGGGAGCGGGAACATGAAGTAAAACTACGTCACGTTGTTTACGAAGTTTAATTGGTCAGTTATCTCTTCTTCTCGTTCCAAATACGGTACTTTCGAAAATGAATAATCACGAGCATCGGACAAGGCAAACATATGAGAGTTAAACGTTTCAACCCCTTATGAGTTTCTGCTTCTTTTTATAGGCATAATTGGTCTTAGGAGAAAATCCCGAAATCACAAAACAGTGACAAAGCGGCCTCGTTTTCCTCTGTAGTGGTAAACATAGCTTCGAGCGTACAAAAAGTCAGCTACAGTAAACCACTTCACAATAGATCACGCTGTTTAAACACCATGAAGTCTTTTCTTGCCTTCAAAGTCATCAACACTTGGATATTCGTGTATTTTCAAAGAGGCTTCACTATGAAACTTTGGCAAAACACCCAGTTCACGACAGCGATTTTGTTCTGCTTTATATTCACCGCCTAGCGCGGTGAATATTTAACAATTCTTCTTTGAAATCGAGGTGAATAGTGGCAAAATATTTACCAACCCGCGAAAGCGGCGAGGTAAATATTCCCAAAGCCACTTTTCACCGAGATTGAAGAGAATAATTGTTTTAGTATATACACACGAAGTGATCTCAACAAAATCAGAGAGGAAACCATTAAAAAGTACAATTTGATTGACAGATCAAATCACGCGTAAGTTTAAAAATAGATCTTTGCAGAATTTTCAAACATGGCAATTTACAAGTTTATCATTTCGCAAACAACAGCGTAATGGCTTAAATGGAACCGCTAAAAGTTTGAACTGTTTCCTTACCTGAGAAGAAAAGTGGAGCTTTGTTGTTTTCTGTTGATTCGCCAAGTTTATAGCCAAAAGGGCTTGTTGAGTCGTTCTTCGCATGAAGTGCTGACAAAAATGGCGGCTCGGTTGCTCTAGGTAAGACGTCTTCCTGTATCATTCTTTTTCCTGTTCACTTGAAACGTAGAATTTCTGCAAACATTTCCTCTTAAATTTGTTTGTCATAAATAAACTTCCATTTTTGAGCCAAGATTTTCTTGTTAGAAAACTTTGAGTTCACGAAACGGCTTCTTCTACGCGAATACACGAGAGTTGTAAACAATCCATCGAGCACAAAACTCAGCCACAGTAAATTGAAAAACGCCGTATTGAATCCTTCCAAGTCTTTTCTTGCCTTAAAAAAAGTCAGCCCTAGGATTTTGTCGACTTCTAAAAGATCGCTGTCTAAAAAAATGGGAAAACCAGTGAGCTCACACATTATCCACTCGCTAGGAGGTGAATATTGTTGAATAGTCCGAGATAGCGAACCAATCAGATTGCTTAAATCACCAAGATCACTGAGTGTGTATATACTAAAACGCCATATTCCGAGATAGCGAACCAATCAGATTGCTTTAATTACCAAGATCACTGAGTGTGTGTATGCTAAATATATATATATATATATATATATAGCCGAATTTTTGAAAACGTACCTGAAAATGCACCAGAATATTCGCACAGAAAGCTGGCGATAGCCAGCTTTCTGGTCACTGCGGTGAGAAAAAACATAGGGGGCCTGCTGTCCTGCTTGGTCTCATTGTCAAGTTCAGTCCCTGAGCTAACGCGCCATGGGTTGGAAAGGGGCCTCCATGTCAATCCCTAGGGGGGGAGGGTGCTGCAAAAGCGCTGTACCTTCCGTTAGTCCTGGTCTGGGAGAGTCAGTGCACTGGTCATGTCTGCCTTTAGTTTGTCATGTCAAATTCTTGTAACGTTTGAGGCCCATTGGCCAACGAAAGCATTCCCCTCAAGCACGTGCTAGGCTGGGGGGGTGGAGGAAGTCAGGGGGGGTGATTTAACCTTGAATTCTCTGCTTAGAACTTGCTGAAGTCTCAAGCGTCCTCCGTCATTCAGGGCCTTTAAGCAGCTAGAGTGTATGGACAAGTCCAGAGTGTCTTTTTGATGGACTTGAATGTTTCTTTTGCTAATCAGGAACCAAGAAGAGAGTCACCTTAAGAGAACCATGGGTAAGAGCCGAGTTTCTTGGCGATATTTACTTTAGTTGAGTCAGTTTAAGGTGTGTGGGCTCCTGGTGTCCGATGTTACGGTTTTCATAAATCCGGCTAGATATATATATATATATATAGACTTCAAATACAATAATTACTCAGGCTTATCATTCGACATCTATTAAGTAAGGCTAGAATCGCTTGAAACTTTCAAACCCTGACTTACGCATCAAGCAAGGTGAAAAACGAAAACGATGCCATCCGAAATCGGTTCAGACTTTGACAAGCGACGCATTTCTCAAGCAAAAACCCAATAAACAAACCAGCCATAAATATATGCAGACTCTTGATAGCAGCTGTATTTCATTTTGTACATCCAGTGGAGAAAGACAGTTAAAAACATCACAAGTTGATGCGAAACTCTGTCAGCTTTAGCTGTCAAAGTAAACAAGTTTCAAGATGTTGGATAAGTTTTTCGCATGAACTCACCTGTCAAATTTTGAAAAATCAGAGCATAAAAATTGGACGTGATCAACGCGTCAAGATGGTAAGAAAAGGTCTTCCCCACCTGTATTTTTAAATAAGTGGCTTTATACTACTACATGAGAAATTTCTGCCATTTGATTGGCTTAGAGCAGTAGTATTTCAGCTTAATTTGAAATACCTACATGTGAAAATTACAAACCTTCTAAGGGTAGTAGTATAAACAAATAATAGCATGATTTGTACGTGATATTTGGCATAAATACCACTCGTGATATTTCAGAATTGTCTCAAATTTCACTCGCCTAACGGCTCGTGAAATTATGTATAACAATTTCGAAATATCACTCGTGGTATTTATGCCAAATATCACTACAAATCATGCTATTACCTATACGAATTTTCGCGTCCGAGGTCAGTTTGAAATCAAAGTCTTAATAGTGCGGGGCCATAGTGACATAGACACAACATATTTCATATGAATTGAAAAAAAAATTGAGCCTTCGATCACTTGAAAACTATTAAGTTGTCAGCGGATAACAAAAAAACATGCGACCTCGAGGGGTCGACACCTGAGCCCTCGATGTGGTCAGGTGATACTGGTCAGCGGATACCTTGTTATGACAGCTGTCAATTGATCACAACATTGATATTCAATTAGTTTTCTCCTGGGTTCCCAAACTAGCTAGAAAGTGTGAGAGTAGAGTCGGTGCACGGTCACGTGATTATCAAATATTCTGGGATGGGTAGATTTACTTAGCTATGGGGCTTCGCCCACGCGCGTGCGCTTTGCGCGCGCATGTCAGCTCCGCTATCAAATCAATAGGACAATTCAGAAGGGAAATTAATCGAGTGTTGCAATCATCGGTTTCCCACTCGGCAATGTTGTAAAACAGTAAATAAAGTGCACACAGATATATTTTTTAACTAAAATATTTGCTAGCAACTTTGTACATTAATTACTAAAATACTTTACCGAGTTTAAATATAGTTGTTTGTATATGTATGTAATGGGGCTTTAAATGTCACAAAATTTTCCCCCAGAGTTTGTGTTTACAAGGTGAACGTCCTCATTACATGTATTCACCGGCATTGTTTTCAAGTTTCATATGGCTTGCACGTGCACAACTGAAGCAAATGTAACAATGAATATGAGGTGAGAACATATATTGCAGAAAGGAAACATAAATACAAATAATCTTTTGTACAGCGATTTATTCCCGCGTCCCTCATGACGACAAAATGGCGCTACAGACATTGTTTTCACCATTTCTGCTACATTAGCTTATTCCGGAGATTTCTTTGGAAAGTGATCGAGGGTCCTTTTGAATGCAAATTAAGTTGTGCACGTGTTTATGAAACTTAAAACAAAGCTAGTGAGTAATGAGGACACTCACTTGTAAACACAAAATCTGGAGGAAACTTTGTGGCATTTGATAACCCCATTTAATTGCCTTCCTTGTTTTAAGTGTCCTTGAAACTTGGAGGAGATGTACATTGATGATTAATCCCGGGATTGTCAGGTTTTCAAAATAATTTGTCGAGCGGTCTTTAAATGAACGTGAAATTTGTAGGCGTGGACAAAATTACATCCAAAAATTGTGAAGAAAGTAGCCAAATGTAGGTTAATCAAATTCCTCTGTCTCGCAATCGGCCGAAACAATTTCCCTCTTTTTTTCGTACAAAGTTTCAGATAGAATCAAACCGCTATCAGACGAAAATTCATTTTCAAACCTCATCATTTTCTTCAGATATTAGCTAATTATGTCGATGACATGTTTATTCATTGTTCTTATGACCCTTAAAACGTTTTTTCAAAATACTTCGAAAACGCTCTCATAAATTTTGTTCAAACTTTGCCATAATCGATGAAACTAAGGGAAGTAAAAGCTCTTTTAAGCGATTTCTGCAAAAAAAAAAAAAAAAACTGCTGGTGCCGAGAAACACAAAGGCAATTAAAAAACGGCGTCATGTTGTTGCCATGGCAACTCTGATGTCAATATAACATGGATCATAACAAATTTTCATCTTTATATAATACAGCTGTGGCAACCTTTTTCCGATATCTTTCTCAATGTCGACGTAGTAAACGCTTAAAGTGGGAAAGTATACTCCCTAAAAAATCCAGTCGAGCCACCTTAATGAAACTACAAACAAGAAAAGAAGGGATACACTCCTGTTTATAGATAAGGATATCAAATTTATATTACCACTCACCTTTTGCATTTTTTAGCACAGGAAAAACAAATATTTAAAGCCGGGACGTTACTGCGGTCAAACGGGTGTAACTAAACGATAAAACGGTGGCCATGTAGGAGTTGAAATCTTTTCTTACGTTGACAAATTCTTCTTTGGTAACGATCCCGACATTTTTTGAGCAGCGTAAACCGGTACATCCCACTAGGCGTGTGCATCAGATGACTCATACACTGATTTACATGTAGGTGTTACTCTGCTACTCTGCATAAACCCTTTGGCTTCTTCTTTGAACCGCCGGTTTAAGTTCACGCCTCGCCTTGCTTTTTATACGTTATGTAACGAGCCTCCAGTCTTCGTTGCTTTCAATTTTGTCCGGTTTCTATGTAATTAACCAGCTCAGTGGAAGAGATCTTCCTACATTTACAGCGCTATCATCATCATCATCATCATCATCATCATTATAATCATTATGACTATTATTATTATTGTCTCACATATTGTCTCACATTTTAGTTGATTGACAAGTTGTTACGTGAATTCGCAAAGGAAAATTTTGGCGATAAAGAGGGTCATTATCTCCCTGTTGCCCATGGCCGAACTCAAGATATTAAGTTATTTACTCTGGTGGTAAGGGAATCTAGGTACGTTCTGGAACGTCCGTTCAAACGATATACATACAAAGTTGTGGCGGGACTAGAACATTACGTGGCAGATGGCAAGAGGGAAGAATATGAAGCCTTGAGGAACAAAAAGGTTCAAAAACATAATGACATAGCATCAGTGGGGAAAAGTGAAGATGGCAGCGGTGCTACAAGGTAAATTAACGTCACTGAAACATTACCCTACAACATTTACTAGTTGTTGCCTAGTTACAGTTATTTATTTTCATAACTTACTTTAACCTGCATCAATGGCTTTCTCAAACTCAATTTGTTATCTCGTAAGAGACTGAATAGTAGCAGTTTTTCACTCTTTGAGGATCTATTTAGATTTTTTTGTGAACAAATTTGCCCCGTAGTCTCTTAAAATGTTCGATTCTTAAAATCTTATACAATTTACATTGATAACTATAAATACATTCATTTAAGTGTTATGCGCTTTTAGTAGCTATTGTCACGCCATTTGGCTATTATTTATTACTCTATGCTCACTAAATCCGTGTGCTGAGAAATGCAAGCTAATTTATACCAAAGGATAAATTAAAGTGAATGTGATATAACCATACCAGTAATCCTTTTAGAGGAATAAGCTAGCTCGCTTCCTTTCACGGGGTTACTTCCCGCATGTGACCCCTATCGCACTAAATAATTTGCTCAGCCAATCAGATAAAAGCTGTCACACGAACAGTGCTCAATTCAGTAAAACAGCAGTTCATGCGCTTTTTGTCGTGGAACAAAATAATCTACCACACGCCCTTATCGCTATTTGATTCTCTTTGATGGTTTTCTTAGTTTTTTAATTCTTTTCTTTTGCCTTATCGCTGCAATCTTGAGAACAGCATATAGGACTAATTATTGTTTCATTTACTGTAAATCCATGGACTGTTGTCATGGAGATATGACAATGAAAAAACAGGATTTTTCACCAAGAAGAATCATTCTAAGCTGACACCCCTACACTCACTGCACGTAGTAATATATTTTCAACTTGTATTAACATATTTTAGTTCAGCCTCACTCCCCCGAGGCTCTTATGAAGTTTCTGCGTCTTCCTTCGGGAGGATTCAGCTTTCCTCCTAAAATAAGAAGGGATTTTTCCTGACGGGTAGAAGACACCCAATCGTAACTAAGATTAGTGATCATAACTGCATATATTCAGTTGACCATGGGCCTACGATGAAGTGCTCCCATGCTTGTTACCTTTGCACCATAGACTCTAGTTACCCCTTAATCCAGGGAATTGGTAATCAACAGAGCTCTTTTCACCCCCGTGTACGATAGGGGATTATCACCTCTCAATCTCAACCTTGGGAGATTATCACTCCGAGGAAGGATTACCACCTCTCACTAACCTGGGGGATTATCACCCCCTAGAGAAGATTATCACCTCTCACGACCCTGAGGGATTATCATCTCTCACGACACTGAGGGATTATCACTCCGAGGAAGGATTGTCACCTCTCGCTACCCGGGGGGAGGGGGGGGGATCATCACTCCGAGAGAGGATTAGCATCCCCACTACCCTGAGGGATTATCACTCTGAGGGAGGATTGTGACCTCTCTTTACCCTGGGGGATTATCACTCAGACAGAGGATTATCACCTCTCACCACCCTAGGGGATTATCACTTCGAGAGAGGATTAGCACCCTTCACTACCCTGAGGGATTATCACTCAGACAGAGGATTATCACCGCACACTACCCTGGGGGATTATCACTCCGAAAAAGGATTATCACCCCTCACTACCCTAGGGGATTATCACGCAGACAGAGGATTATCACTTCTCACTACCCTGAGGGATTATCACTCAGACAGAGGATTATCACCCCTCACTACCCTAGGGGATTATGACTCAGACAGAGGATTATCACCCCTCACTACCCTGAGGGATTATCATTCAGACAGAGGATTGTCAACCCTCACTACCCTGAGGGATTATCACTCCGAAAGAGGATTATCACGGCTTGCTACCCTAGGGGATTATCAGTCCGAAAGAGGATTATCACCCCTTACTATCCTAGGGGATTATCACTCAGACAGAGGATTATCATCCCTCACTACCCTGGGGGATTATCACTCCGGAAGAGGATTATCACTTCTCGCCACCCTGGGGGATCATCACTCCGAAAGAGCATTATCACCCCTCACTTCCCTAAAGAATTATCACTGAGACAGAGGATTATCACCCCTCACTACCCTGAGGGATTATCAGTCCGAAAGAGGATTATCACCCCTCACTACCCTAGGGGATTATCACTCAGACAGAGGATCATCATCCCTCACTACCCTGGGGGATTATCACTCTGGAAGAGGATTATCACTTCTCACCACCCAGGGGGCTATCAACTCCTGGAGAGGATTATCAACTCTCATGAACCTGAGGGATTATAACCCCCAAGAGGGAAAAATTCATTCTAACTCTTTATTCCTTAAGAAATACTGTAGAATGTAATCAGTTGTGAAAAGTCCCCTCTCTTAATTTTCTATTAATGCAAACTTACCCAGTAGTACAGCACCAACATTCTGTCCTGTGTGTAACATGCACACAGAATAAATTGTTCCTCATACGAAATTTTTTTGCTTCTTGATTCAGCTCCTTTGCAGCTGGAGTCCAAGCTGCTAATATTGCCAACTTTGCGATCGAGATAAATGAAGATCTGGGATCCTTAGAGCTAGGGGGAATTGATCAGGAATACATACTTGACCCAGACCTACGTGAAGTGTTGGCCAAAACAGAACTAGATATTAGTAAAACAGAAGTGTTTGAAGACCAACAACTGCGTTTGATAACCTCAGTGATTTACAGTCAGCGATTTGTAGTTAAAGGCAACAGAAAATACGAGGTATTTTAGCCGTTGAAAACTATCTTCTTTTTCTTCTTCTTCTTCCTCTTCTTCTTACTGTTATTATATAGTGATGAACTACACGGTAGAGAATGAAAGGAAGTTAGATACATGTAATTAAGACTCTTGTTGTCAACCCCATTTTTCGCTGTGACGCTGCGGCTATAAGCCTGAATAGCTGTATTGGTTTTCGAGTTACATGAAGTTAATTGGAGAGATTTGTTGATTTAAGTTAATGGCCTGTTGCTGTTAAATGAAAGTTTTCAGCTCGGGAAAGTTGCAACACTTTCCCTCTATCTTCATAAAACTTTACTGCATGTCACTGTCTTGCTTCTGAGCTTGTTGTTTTCCAGATTAGGACCATGATTACAAAACTGGGTTGGCCCTCCCTTTTTCAAATTGCGAAAAGGAGATTAAGCGCAAGAATGAACCCTGTGTTATGATTAACCAATTTGACCAGTTTAGCTGAGATGCCGGTACCAGGGTGGCGTAAAACCGGGATAAAAGTCGGCTTCACAAAAGCAAGGCAGTCCGGCTGATGTAATCAGGCTCTATACGCCAGGCTCATTAAGGGGGTACTCCGGATTTCAATTGACGGGGATGATTGAAGAGGGACAAAAATCAAACCCCCAAAATATCCCTAGGCCTTCCAACAAAAACCCCCAAAATTCCCTGGACCAAAAACTAATCCCCCCCCCCAACAACCTCAGGGCTAAAAGAGAAGCTCCCGTTGAAAAATTTAGAATTTAAATCAAACAATTAAGCTGTAATTCACAAATCAGTTAGCGTTAGGGCACATTCATGTGAATTTTGAGGGAAAGGCTGAGTGATTTTAGAGAAAAAGAATTTGCAAACAGTTCAAGAGTTAAACAAATTTTACATAGAGTTAATAGTTAATGTGCAGCCAAAAAATAGCAATCATCTTCGATCACAGTAGATTAGGCTTGGAAAACAAATTCTTCCTAAACAAAATAACCCAATCGCCCACCTACGACCACCTTTATTTTTAATAATAAGGTTAACTGGACATCCGCGAAATATAATTTTATGCTATAAAGGCCGATTATAAGACACGGAAGTCCTTGGTGGCAGCCAATTTACACGTTGCAGTACTGTTTGTAGGTTGCATTCCCTTGCCTAAAAGCGAGGACAAAATAAAAACTCAGGCCGGACTTTTTGCGTTTGACAAGTTTACTTTACAAAATCTTGCCAACAAATCTGGTGGTGTGTCAGGCCTTTTATTCTTTTTATCCATAACACATCTGAGATACACAGTACCATGAGGCGTTGTTTTGTTTTTACAGACCTCGCACAGATTTTGCTCTTTTTTGCTGTATTTAAACACCCCCAGATTTGTTGGCAAGAATTTGTAAAGTAAACCTGTCGAACGCTAAAAAATTCGGCCAGATTTGTTTTCGAGGCCTAATCTACTAGGATCTTGAATGTGATCGAAGATGTTTGCTAGTTTTTGGGTGTACAGATAAGGCTGTGAACTCGATGTAAGATGTTTCACTCTAAAATAACTTAGCCTTTCCCAGAAAAGTCACATGAATGTGCCGTTAAGTTAACTGATTTGTGGATTAAAAGTTTATTGTTTGATTTGAATTATTTTTTTATTAATTGGAGCTTCTCTTTTAGCCCTGGCTAACTCTATATATTATATGGACGATCGGGACCATCGTGTAAATTTTGTAGCGATCATATGGAAACGCTCTCAGACAGTTAAGACGATTGGAACGATCGAAGGCTATCCCAGAAATCATCACTTTTATTCCAGTAATCGAGAATAAATTCGGTCTGGACGGCGCTTAAGTCGAAAAACAAAAAGTCGTGGAACTCAACGCCCCCCCAAAAAAAAAAAAAAAATAAAATAAAATAAGAGAAAAAAATAAGACAAAAAGCAGATAGCGAGGCACGAAGTTAGCTCTTCGATTAAAACCCATGCTTATGTTTGGCTTTTTTGCGAAACACGAGCAAAAATTCTTTTGTCTCACCCAAAGACGTCGCTGACGACCCCGTGTGTCTTGTCTTTAAGGCGATCATATGGAAACTACCAATCAGTGAATATATATAAATATCAGTCGTTCTGATCGCCTTGTAATTTTTTGAAATGACTGGGGCGATCGGGACGATCATATGGAAACCGGGCTTTAGAGGGATGCCTCTCATTTTCACCTTGATGGCCGCTAGCATTTCCCCTTTTCCTCACAGCCGTTATAAATTTAAATGTTTTTCTTTCGACGAAATTGGTCTCCTTTGTTTTTTGCTCTCACTCTAGCTCTTTCTCTATTATCCACGACAATGTAGACATTAAAATTAAGTCGAAAGAAAGAATCAGCTTTGTTGTTGTTGTTTTTATTGCTAAAAGTCCGAGAAGCTATGCGATTTACCGCCGAAAAGTGTCCAAACGTGCGAGTGCTTGAAATGCAAAATTTCATCCCGGCTTACATGAGGGGTGGACGTACGTAGGAACGTACGCCTTACGTTCGATCTTCTCAGAACCAAAATTTCTTGGATGCATAGATTACCAAATTTTCTTACCCATGTTGCTCCTCTACGCGCCCTTCGCGCACGCGAGAGTTCCGCTATTGAAACAGCCCAAGAGAGGATAAAGGGGACAGAGAAGGCATCCCCCATACACACCCTATTCCATAGGTAATTCGTCTCGAGTTATTTTTAGAATCGGGATAAAGTTACCTCGCACGCTGCGTGGATGTTTCGTGGAGGTTTTGCATGACTAAACGCCGTGCAAAACGTGTCGGGCAAAAGACAATGAAAGCGTAAAGAGATCGAGAGCATTTCTGAATATAAAACAAAATGAGTCAGCGCTCACCTGTGAAAAGGGTATCGCTGGACTCTTTGACAACCCGTGAAATCAGTTTAACTCGAAGTTGTCGTAACCTCAATGCTTTAATAAAATGACAAATTTCGCGGGTCTATTGAAACTGGTCGTTTGTACAATAAAGCAAGTAGGACGCCAAGTGTTATTTTTGTTGAATAATAAAAGACTAATAAAATTAAGAATAAATATCAAACCAGAAATTGCTCTCTTCAAACTATAAATTATAAATGATCCTGAGAGAATATTCAGCGTGTTAAGGATTTCCCTGCTGTACTGTTAGCTCTATACAAGAGAGGAAGGGCGATTCTTTTTTAATTTCCATTTCGCTGACACCGCTTTAGCAGAAATCTCTCTTTAGTCGTTTTCGTCGACAAAACGAATAGCAATATCGCTCTCCGAGTCTTTCACCACTTTTTTCTGCGTCAATTCGTAAAGAACGCGTGGCTCTGAGCGTAGGTCATCCACGCGGAACACATTCGCGCTATGTGATTGGCTGTTGTCTAATCCTCCTTGGTATCTGTTTTTAAAAAATAACTCGAGACGAATTACCTATGGAATAGGGTGTGTGGGGGGGGGATGCCTTCTCTGTCCCCTTTATCCTCTCTTGAACGGCCTCAAAACAGGTTTGGTTGTGATTCGCAGAACCACGAGGCGGGGATACGTAGGCACTACCACGAATCTTCAGATTGTGTTGAATACCCAAAAAATCTGTTTTAAATCAAGCCACCCAGAAAAAATACTTGCGAAAGTTTCCTACCCCAAAAAATCCCGGAATAGAAAATTTCTATTATCCCCGTCACTTTGAGATCCGGAGTACGCCCCCTTCCTCCCGGGCAAGGCTTACTTAAAATCTCTCTATTGCGTAGGCAAAAATACTCTATTTAATAACTTGTTTGTATCAATTCTAAAGGTGGTAACAGATGCAGGAATCAATATCCCCGGGTATTTCCACTCTCAGATAAAAGGAAAACACAAAAATGTGAATATCCCTCCAAATATAGCAACAAGGGCAAATACACGTGGTCCATTCCTGTTCCAGTGTTGCCGTGTTGTCTTAAACAAAGAGACAAACCGATTGGAACTCCCCAAAGGAGAGGTTGTTGGTAAAACTGTGAGAAGTAAAGAAGAAGAGAAGGAGGCCGAGAACGAAAACACCGCAGTCAGTTTGGTGGAAGACAAGGAGAGTAATTTGATGGGTAAGATCAGTATTTGTTTCCCGTTAAACCATTCTGGAATTTTAGAGGCCAACTCCGTCCCTAGAGTTATGCCTATCTTTTCACGAATCTGATAGTATTTACATTACTTTACATTCCTCTTAAAATAGTACTCAGCGAGATCTAGAATGGAATACATTTAATTAATTGAAAATGGCAGATCCAAGATAGCGTATGGAGTCCAGTTCCTTTAACAATAAATTACTTCAGAATGACATCACTGCTATTGCTTAAAGAATATTAATGTGTTGGCCAACATTTTGCGTTTATCATATACGTTCTTATTTAAGTATTTTTCACTTTATTATTACTCACTTTGAGACAACATGAAGACAGCAATATAATGTCTCAATAAGGTCAAATTACGTCATTGTGTCCCCCACTCGGCTCTAAGATGGGCCTTTAGACTAACCTGGAGGTAAGCGTCCTTCCGCGCTTTTGTCATCATAGAACGAGTTTAACCCTTTCAATGCCAGAGGTGGCAAAAGTCAACAGTTAGCAGGATTCAAATTTTATTTGGCCGTTGTGAAATTCAGTGTTATTGAGCACAAAATTCAGTGTATTGTCAGCAACAGGTACTCTCTAATTTTATATCTTAGATTCGTTCACAAACGAAGATAGCACGAAGCTGGAGGAAATCACAACTTCAGTTTTAAAACTTACCAAGAACAGAGAAGAGCGTAAAGAGAGGGTCAAAAAGTACCTTCAGTGGGTAAGAACAACTACAACAAATAATAGGTTCTTTTTACCCTGGAACGAGTGATTGGTTTGAGGCTGGGTGGAGGCCACCGCCCCAAAGGTTTTCGCCCGATTTTTTTTCCTTTTCAAAATGACTTTAGACCAGAGTTTCTTCTTTCCAATCACCCTTTGATTCATCAGGCACATATAACTTTGGTTACGATGGATTGTCATGGGTACGTGATGCCATTGTTAAACAAAAATGCCAGGTGAACCAAAGATTCAGTGGCAAGGCAACTTTCAAGAGGAAAAAGTTTAAATACAACGTCATATTCCAGTGGCATAATTAGATATAGAGCCTTTCCATTCAAATTCATCTAGAAAATAAGCACAAACAAATCCGAAGGTTTTCCCACAAAACAACAACTCGAGCTTCGCGTTAAACCACGCCACTCGATTTCTTAGAAATCACGCGATCCTCCTGTCGAAAGACAACAACACAAAGGCATTGAGAGATTAGACGAATTGTGCAAATTATATCAGTTTTTCGCAAGCAAACCGCTTTCCCACGACTTGAAGTGGGTTTAACGTTTCCTTTATCCTGGATAGCTAATGTTTATGGGCCGTTCGGGGGATTTGCTGAAATGACTAATAGGCATGCATTCCGCTGCTATAGTAGTGGTATAGAAGGGACCAGTCAGGACCTTTTTTGAAGTGGCATCTCTTTAGTGAGTTAAGGTCGATGACGTTTCTATCTCATGAATAAAAAGTAGTGGCGTCTCGATAAGATAACCTCAAAAGTTATTTCATGTAGTGACTAGTATAGCCAGTTTGACGGGCTTTTAGTTATTGTTAATATAATGTAACTCGGAAGGGATCATTTCCATATTGGGTATCGTTATTTTCTTATGTGATTGGTAGAAAACGTCCTTTTGCTGATTCACTTTTAACATTTTAACGACAAAATAGACGCTAACTCGCCAGCGGCTGACTTAAAATCACTTTTACCTAGGAGCACGCTGTAAGAGCATGTATTGAACTGACCCAACCTACCAATTAAACTTAAAATTTTTATACCTCATCGCTTTGCAGTTTGAAGAAGCGCTGTCAACTACGACAACAGAGGACGAGAGAGTGTTGACTCTTAACAAGCCTCTCAATGATGCAGATTGTGAATTTCTACGAACCATTTTTGTACCTGCCACGAAGAATCATTCAACGTTAAGTTTCCCGAAATTCTTTGACGAAGAAAAACTTCAGGGATATGCAATTGTTTTGAAGATTATCTCTGGTAAGATATGAAACTTGACACATAGTCAGGAGAAACAGGACAAGAGAGACTCTCCTGGACTTCTGGTCATTCAAATGAAAACGAGGTTTTTTATAACTGTAGCTTTTGTTAACTGCTCTGCCTGAGTGGTTGATGATTCAATGAAATAACGTCCGGTTAGAATCGAAGTCCCTTTTACGACAAAATTATAGTGTTCTTCTCTGCAATGCTTTAGCACTTGTGCTATGGAATGATGTAGGTTAATTAATAGCGGAGCTCTCGCGCGCGAAGCGCGCGCAGCGGAACACCATGGGTAAAAAATGTGGAAAACTACCAATCCGAGAAAATTTGGTAATCACGTGACGGTACACCGACCGCCCGCCCGCCCGACCGTCCGTCCGCACCACAGGCATACCGATGTAAAATAATTCACTCAACAGGTATGGCAACCCAAATGCAACTCAAGGTTTTATTTAGAAAGCAATCGCATGGCCGACTTTTAGAAAGAAAAAACAACAACAAAGTCTTGTCTTTTTCGACGTTATTTTTGATGTTTACACTCACATGGATAACAGAGAAAGAGCTAGAGCGAGTGATTGAAAACAAAAGAGACGAATTTTCTAGGAAGAAAAACATGAAAATTCAAAGCGGCTGTGGGACATTAGGGCCATTTATACGAGGAAAAATAAGTCGCGTTTTACATAAGAGGCGAACTGTACCATTTATACGAGCATGTCTTATCTAATAAGACGCGTCTTACCTGAGCCGCGTCTTATTTTAGACGAAATGTGCTGTTTATACGGAAAGTTCGGGTCTTATTTAAGACGGCTCTTATGTAAGACGCGTCTTACTTTTCCTCGTATAAATGGCCCTAATGAGAAATGCTAGCGGCCAGCAAGGTAAAAATGAGCGGCAGTGAAAAATAAAAGCGAACATGAACACAGGAGACAAAATATTGGGTAAGCACATACGACAATTCCTCCATAATGTGTAACTAGGAAGTTTGACGTTTTAGTCCTACAAAACAGCGTTGTAGTTGTGCAAAACAACGGCAAAGAAAGACAAAAAGCGTGCTGCACGTGCAAATTTGTTTTTTTTTTTTTGGCTAATTAGAAAAAAAAGTGTGCTGCACGTGCAATTTGTTTTTTTGCTAATTAGATCTATAGAGCGTTTTCACATGACGTCACGGCGGTCATATTGGTGTTCCAAAACAATGAAATGGCGGCCATGTTGGTGTAACCAGAAAACCCTCTGGGAGTTGAAGTCTTTGTCATGTAAATGCTTTCTTTTGCTCCAATAAATTAGCAGAGATGCTGGCCACGTGAGTGCAAACGCTCTATTGATCTTGATGCCATTTTCATTGCCCTCCCCGTTTAGCATTACACGATTTAATTTTTTTTGTTTACAGGTATTGTTAACCAGAGCTTCGCTTTTAGCCCTGGCTAAATCTATATATTAGAATGAGTATTATAATCACGATAATAATAGCAACCAGTTAATGAAAACTGAAAACTTGATAACAAAAGTATTTTAGATGATCTTGTCTATAAGAAGGATTAGAACTGTCATCGAAGGAATTAAGACCATGGCTTGTAGGGAATTAAGTAACAATCACCATTTATGTTAGCATAGGAAATGTGAGGGTATGGAAAAAAGAGCATTTGAACTCGTTTTGCACATAAATTTCTTTTGGATGTACAAGCAAAGTATTTTTCACCATAACTTTTTATGGCTAGGTATATTAAGTATATCAATTTTGTTGTAGATTGTTTGCCCAAGTTTTAGCTACAGTTGTTTACAATTTTCTCTGGGGGTGAGGGGGATTTGAGTTTTGTTTAATACGGAGATTGAAGCAATAATGTTCAGTTATTGAACTGTCCATCAAGTTTTCTTTCTCAATGTACTCAACAGATATGTCGGAGGAAACCTGGGATGAGATTGAGAAAGCCTGGGCCGAGAAAGACGAGCATTCGGAGTAAAAGAAAGCACTGAGGTGGATGACTTTGTTAACGAAAAATTTTGCGATCGCATCTTGAGTCAACGTTGTAACTGTGAAATGTAATCAGAATTTGAAATAATATTGTAAAAGGGAAAAAATATCTTACCTTTAATCCAGGTCATAATCACGTAACAGTCTCAGCACGAGTACACACGTGTACCGTTGCCCCCATTGAGAGTGAACAGAAGGGAAAGGAGCGAAGAGTTCCTTGAGCGTTTTAACAATATTATGACCGGAATTGATTCAGTTCTATCGTGAATTTTATTATAAAACATTAAAATACTTAAAATACTTTTAGACTTAAAGCATTAATGGTGAGTTTTTAATTTGAAACTACATAAGCTCCTAGAGAGACCCCAAAATACGAAAAACTATCTATGTAAAAAAAGGATATACACGGTTTGTGCATCAGATAGGGCTTGTTTATCGTTTGTCTCTTGAAAGTACTTTGTTTTGTGCAGCCAATGGTTCCGTACTTAAAATGGACACCATCGCCTGATGAATACCAGCAGTCAGTATCCCGCCCAAACGCCCGGGACGCAGGGGTTGGGGCGTACTTCCTATAATGACCTTTACGCCGAGGCTCTCCCGAATGGGGTGCCTTTGTCAGGCTTCAGGTATATGAAATTGTAGGAAAATCTGTTTTCTCGCTCTGTAAAAAACGCCGCAAGGTATATAGATCGCAGTGACAGAGTCGAGAAAACGTTGTGGTTTTGTGATTTACTCATATTTTAAATACATTGCATTTACGGCAGTTAAAAGGGATGCCAAGTTGTAAACTAGGCACCATTTGTCAATACGAGGTGTGATATAGGGGCACCTTTTCTGTCAAAAAAAGGTACATAAAAGGGTAAAGGGGTGGGACTTCGGGGTGGAGCCTCCCGTATAAAACTTTGTTGAATACCTTCCCCCTCCCGGGTAGAAACGTACTAAGACAAACGTTAAGCAAACCTTCTCAGTATACCTATCGTCCCTCAGTATGTACAATATCGTTGGATTATAATCAGAAGTAAATAACCGAGATAAATGCGCACCATGTTAGAATTTTGAGCTAACTGGGTATTATATAAACGTGAAATAATGTTTTATCCTTAGAAACAAATATTTGTCTTGTGTCCTCATCAAAGTGGACTGATGGTGGGTGTAATTAAGCAAACTGGCACGCAACTGTTGAACTCGGGGTGTGGTTATCGACAGCTTATTAGGAACTCGGGTCCTCACCAGTTATATTACTTAGAGCCCGGTCAATTTGAAATTTTCTGTACTTTGTGGAAGTTTCATTAAAAGTGGAGAGAAGCCTGTGAGGACTAAAGGAGTTTTGTTCATAAGCTTAATTTATTACGACTTTCGTGATCGACAAGCGAGATTATCGCGTACAATATTTTAGGCAGTCGAATTCTAAATAACCGTTTTTTAAGGTTATGTCAGAATAGCCCCTTCCTAGGGCTTATTTCATAAAATGGGTAAGTTTTTCGGCAATTTCCCAGCGGGGCACCGTGTTGAATCGTTCATTTGTAAAAGAATCGTAGTGTTTAATTTTACGCACATATAGTTCACTATAATGAACTGGTGACATATATCCCCAAATATACTTTCATAAAGCGTTGCCTTAAGCTATTTAGTAGTTTCCCCAACTAAGATAATGTCAACTCCATTATTGCGGGCACCCAGGACTCTTGTTCTTTTCCCTTTAACCCTCAAAATCTCCAAATACATTCTCCAAACTGATCTCCTTACATCACCTTGAAGTACCGGTTGAGAGAATTTGTTAACAACATTTTTCCTAAGCTAATTATTTTATTTTCCTTTTCTCATAACCTTTTCTGTTGATTGTGAATTGATATCGTTTAGACAAAATTGATGTTGGTCACTCTTGGGACTAAAGGTGATGTTACAGGGGACGATTCACAACGACGATTTTTGGCGCAACACAGCGTTGCAATGCTGGAACAATGTTGTAACCATTCGAAACAATGTCGCAACAATGTTGCAACGCTGTGTTACGCTATGATCGTCGTTGCGAATCGTCTCGTGTAACATCACCTTAAAGGGTTAATAACAAGCGTCCATTATATGAAGGGCAATGAAAGAAAGTTCTTTGACAAATTGCATCTTTTGTACATCAAATTATTTGGACATAATGGATTTATATTTTTTAAAACGTCAGATAGATAAGAAGGTCAATCTGAAGAAGTGGAGAAGAAGGGATTGAAATTGATGGCAAAAAAGTGTTTAACAGGAGAGATATTCCTGTTATCCAAGTTAACGAGGTGTCCGTGTTGCGAGAGTTGACTGAATGCACAGTTTAACGGATGTAGAAAACTGTGAGTGCTCCTCCTGAATTCACTTTACGAGTTTTGCTTCAGCCCATAAGTCCATTAAATACATATTATTCCGCCATATGGAAATTTGTTGTCCTATGCTAAGAAATTGAATTTTTACATCACGATACCTTTCCGAAAGTTATATATTGCGGATTTACTAATCTCGCGAACTTAGGTAGTCGAGGGGTAATTAGCTCCGGGTCGCACTAGTTTTACGAAGAGACAATGTACTCATATGGTTGGATAAAATTGGCCACTATTGTGACGTATTTATTAATATAACAATAAAAAGTCACGCCACGCTTAACAAACTAATCAGATCGTGACGTGACATGGAAAAAATTAAGTAATTGAATGTCTCTTCGGAAAAGGTGGGGAAGAAATAACCGCCACAAGGCACACAGCGTGTGACCACCCCACCAAGATCCGGAACTAAGAACCCCGAGGAATATTTTAACTGAAAACAGCGAGGATATAAGAAAATCTTGTAAAGTACGGTCATTTCCAGCAGCCCCTGGCTGACCTAGTCATGAACCGCACGCGAACTCACATTGAAAACAGAGGTTAAATAACATAGCAATTCGTGCCAGGACCGTAGCTCCTTCGTAGGACAGATAACCTATTGATAAAGTAGTACATGAGAACAGATTGGTGAAGTACATAGTAAGTGATAGCGGAAAGAGTCCACAGTGAAAAACCCTTTCAGTATGGCAGCCCCTGACTGACCCACGCATCAGAGAATCCACCGTGGCCCGTGAAAGCTAACCAGAGATGAAGACAAAAAATACTGGTCCCATAACGGATGTTTAAATAGCCGTAGTGAAAATCACCACTGCATAGCAGCTCCTGACTGACCTATACAACGGAGATCCAACCGCGGCTTGACTAGTGTCTTTGAAACGTTTAAAAACAATTAGTTAGCCTTGAGTGAAGGCGGACGAATGTAAGTTCTAAAAGCGTCCGAACTCCATCTACCTAGGGCACGTATTTGCGAATCCGAAAAACCTTTCTCAGACGCATGGCACGCTGCACCAATGCGAAAGCTATGGCTCTTGTAGCGAGAACAATCAAGGCCGCAAAAGTTCAAAGCACGACGGAGCTCAGTGTTAAAATTATTTGTCGAGATTGCCCCGCCGGCTGCACACGTGAACAAGGGGCCTTTATGGTAACCCCTAAGTTTAATGTAGTCGATTAAGGTCTGCACGGGGCAGAACGGTTCTGAAGGTTCGCTTTCTATTGTTATGACAAACGGCCGATTATTCGTGTTGTGTTTAAACTTAGTGATCACAATCTTGACAGCCGTCACTCGAGAAGATTGTTTCAAAAAAGAGACTTGATCAAATTGCACAACGGTGTCAACTTGCTGTTTACTATTGCAAGATAATTCACCTATTCTGAAGAAACCATAAAATGCTGTCATGAACATTGCCCCGAACAGAGATCTACGATAGGCAGATGGGCTAGTATGCTGTAAAGCTCTAACTAATTCGTACAATAATGGACGTGAAATGGGCATACGAACATCGGCTTGACCACGGCGGCCAACGGCCACAAGAAGCTTTTCAACTAAAAATGATTTGGTCGGGTCGTAGTGGCCTTTGATCTTATGTACATATGCTATTGCTGATAGGTACGAGTTTATGGTAGCAGGAGCAAGGCCCTTGGCACATAAAAAGGAAATGAATAATGCGATACACGCTGTCGAAACAGGCAAATGTAAATCGGCACCCTGATAGCGGGTATAGAATTCAGTAAAGACAACCCAAGCACGTGAGTATTGTTTGCGAGACTGCTCCGACAAGGAGGAATGTAGTAATTCCTTTAACGTATCGACCACTTCTGCGGGAGAAGGGTCTCGGAACAAGAGTTGGCTCTGGGTCGGCATCTGGGAATGCTTTCCTGAAATCTACAATCTGTAAACGAGAAATTAAGTCCGCCCGGGTATTGTCAACACCGGGTATATGATAAGCCCGAAACAAAATATTATGACGTAGTGATGTTAGGACAAGGTCACGGACTAAGATCATGATCATGGGGTGTTTTGAAGTCTGTTTATTGATAATGTCAACCAAAGCCGCATTATCAGTAAACAGAGAGACACAATTATTGCTCATTTGACATGCCCACACGTGGAGCGAGATAGTAATCGGAAAGAGCTCCAAAAATGCAATGTTCAATGATTTCCAATTGGCAGGCCATTCTCCGTAAAACCAATGTTTCCCAAAAAGTGCGCCATAGCCCTTGGAGCCGGCGGCGTCGGTGTAAAGGTTGAGAGGCGGTGAAACCTGCCACGGATCGTCCAGAAAAAATGTACGGCCGTTAAAATCTCTTAAAAATTGAAGCCATACCAATAAATCTCGACGACAGGCTTCAGTAATCCGTATACGATGGCGAGGGAGACGGACACCCTTTGTGAGATCAACAAGCCGCCGAAGAAAGGCCCGACCAGGTAGAACAACTGAACAAGTAAAATTTAATAATCCAATCAAAGATTGAAGTTCTTTCAGGGTAGTTTTACGGCGTCTGTGCATGTCCAATAACTGAGCATTGCATTTTTGAAGCTTATCGTCCGGCAGACGTGCTTCCATATTAATCGTGTCGAGTGTTATCCCAGCAAACTATAAAGTGGTTGAAGGACCTTCCGTTTTTTCATGTGCTATAGGTACCCCTAAACTATCACATAGGCTCAAAAAGTTGTTTAAATCGGAGGCACATTTGCCTTGAGAGGTAGCAATAAACAAGAAATCATCCAAAATATGCAAAACACCGGAAACACAGAGATAATGTTTAGCAAG